AGGGCTTGATTTGAGCCCTGGGATCATGAGCCTCCCAGATGCCCCTATAACGAATAATTTTAGAATAACAGAAGACAATAGTTTACTGAATACTGCTATCACTTCTTTTTTATATTTGGCATTCTAAAATGTGGCTAAATAATATATTCCTATACAAATACACATAGAGTCACCACACAGGCAATCGCTAACAAGTGCAGCCTGAAAAAGGTGTTTTGTACTCACAGCGTGTTTACCACACAAATAACAAATGAAATAATTTTTTCTAACAAATCTTTCTTGGCAAAGTTCTGAGCAAAGTACAATTTTTTTTCTCAATGTACATAATAATTGCATTCCTGGACAATTCAGAATTATATTAAAATTGTGCAAAAAAAATCTTGTGTTCCTATGTAAAACCAATTTAGGTTCTAAATTCAGGAACAGGTTTTTCATCTGCAGGAATATCCCACAGGACCTAGGAAAGACATTCAGGATTTAGGATAATTCTTTATGAGGTCACTGTCCCTGGAAAGTGAGGATATCTAGCATCCTTAGTTTCTGCTCACTAAAAGCCAGTAGCACTCCTAATACCATGACAAAACACAATCCCCACCTAAATTTTCCAAACATGTTTTCTTGTGGATGGGTTGTCCTTCTCTGGTCCAAGACCCACCATCATTTACTGTCATTGCAAAATCATCCACTAAGTGGCAGTATAGACCAACGTATTGAGCATTTTTGATGCCCTTACAGCTTTAAGAACTTCTTGGGGGTTCAGCGGGACTGGGATCGGAGGACAAAAGGACTTCACATTTATGTTGTAATGTTTGAAAAGACGGATCAAACACGACTAAAATACTAAAAAGGGATGTGAATGATGACACACGAACATTTTATTTTCCCTCTACATTTATTTTTTCCTTTTTTTTATTAAAAAATTTTTTTTATTAACATATAATGTATTATTAGCCCCAGGGGTACAGGTTTGTGAATTGCCAGGTTTACACACTTCACAGCACTCACCATAGCACATACCTTCCCCAATGTCCATAACCCCACCTCCCTCTCCCTACCCACCCCCCCACCCCCGAAACCCTTGGTTTGTTTTGTGAGATTAAGAGTCTCTTATGGTTTGTTTCTCTCCCGATCCCATCTTGTTTCATTTATTCTTTTCCTACCCCCCAAACCCCCGACGTTGCATCTCCACTTCCTCATATCATGGAGATCATATGATAATTGTCTTTCTCCAATTGACTTATTTCGCTGAGCATAATACCCTCTAGTTCCATCCACTTCTATTTTTTCCTTCTTAAAGGATCTGTCAACATCTCTAGACAGGCTGATACTGACCCATCCATTTGCTTCTATCCACAGAAAGAGAATAAAAATCGTGGCAGCTGAGGAAGAGAGACTCCCATTCGTGGGAGTAGACCATGCATGGGAGTAGCAACGCAGACCTTCTGATACCATGCGGGGCACAGGGAAGAACAACACAGCGCTTGAAGGAGTGTAAGAAGACAGCACAGAGAAGGTGGGGTTTGAGTTCATCTTTAAGATCATGTGGGAGCAATACTGGTGTCCACGAAGAGGCAACACCACCACCCAGAGCTACCTGTTATTAAGTTTCAGAGCTGACAATACTCTCTCATACATTTTATTTAAGTCTGTCTTCTCGCATTGCAGCTTACCCTTAACCAGTACTCCTAAAAGGGCAGTCTGCCAACAGGTGACCTTTACCTGTACTGAGATACATTGAGACATATAGACATCAGGAGAAATGTTTATAAAAAGTTGCCAATCTGCTATCTGTTGACCACAACGACAAACTGGGCTGTGTTTTGTACATTTAAAAATGCCCCCCCTCAACAAAAATTCATTTCTGTAGTATTTTACCCAATATCAAGCTTGAGTGGACTGAAAGCACATACACACACGCACAACCGTACCTGGTCCTCATCTCCCAAAAGTTTGAGAAGCACTGGCTCCAAGCACGGGAACAGCCAGAAGGCAGGATGAAGGTGAATAGGGCAAGCCGGAAGAAAAGGCTTACATTTAATAGTTCCCACCTGCAAGAAGTGTGCTCCTTAAATGTTATTGAATCCTCCCGCAAGCCCAATGGGATTAGTAGTATGATCTTGACTTTACAGAAGAGAGCAAAAATTAGAGATGATCATGAGCCTACCCCCAGTGGAGCCAGGAATCAAACTGAGGTCTGTTGGAATTTTCAGCCCTTCTAAGATCTTCACGCTTGGTTTAATCACCATGTCAGTGCCCATCCCTCTTCCAGCAACACCTGCAGATCCCAGTCTATTTTGGAAGAGTTGCTCCAGGGCTGATGGACTCAGCACGGGTGATTGCATGTTCTTGGGAGTCAGACCAATCTTTCCCTAAGTTAGGAAACAGGATCTGTCCCCTAACCCAGTCTCATATGCCAAAGAAAGGTTGAAACAATGACAGCAAACCAGTTCCCCCTTCCCATTCATGTGCACAGACACGGAAAACCCTTCTCATGGAGCAAGAAAAGCAAATTCTGCTCTTTCTCACTGGAGCAGTGCAAGGTGTTTTCCTGACTTGAATTTTTTTTTTCCCTTACGTCAAGGTGTTTTTTAAAATTATAAACTTTCATGATAAAAGCTTTTTTTTAACCACAGTTTTTTAATCATAAACTATTTAACAAGAAAGTATTCCACAAAAAAATATTTCTTGGAATTTTTATTTTTCCGATGAAGTTGCCTAAATTTAAATGAAAACACAACTAGAGTGAAAGGAAGAAGAAGCAAAAGGCAATTGACAATAGTGATGATTTACAATATGTAGCCAGAGCTTTTAGGATAAAACACTGTTGAACAATGGATAACCAGAAATGTGTTATAATTTATTTTTAATTTTATAATTTTATTTATAATTTTAATTATAATTTTCTTTTTCATTCTGCACTTCCAGAAAGCTTAAAATCATTAAGTAAAAGGGATTTAGGGGGGCCAGGCCTGTACTTCTCCTTTCTTCATTTTCAATAATTATAATAATTTCAAAAATAATAATTAAGTCAATAATTTAAATAATAATAATTAAAAAAATAATTAGAGATACTTTGAGAAAAGGTGTTTTGCCTTGCACAAAAACTCCTGGAAAATAATCTGACAAGAATTTCTTCTCCTTCCTCTCTTTCTCCCTCCTCCTCCTTCGTCCTCTTCCTTTTCTTATTATTACAACCAATAAAGATATTAAAGAGAACAGCTTTTGAACACATCATATGCATGATAACTTTACATAATGTTATTAAACCACACAGCTTCCCTATAAGGTAGGAATTATTATTCCTGTCAGGAGATTGAGGCCCAGAGAAGGTAAGAAACTAGCATAAAGTTGCAAACTCTTGATATTCTATGTTATAGAATTAAACCATGAGGGACAGCCAGCTGTTAAACTCATTAATTCTGGGACCTCTATTTCTGTTAAATGATTTTTATACTTCATGCAGAAGGAAGTTCTTAGAATAACATTCATTTGGAACTATATCTCACTTGCCCTACATGTTTGCCATAGGTTTATTTAAGGAGTTAAGGAAGTTAGATTATTTTTCTTGGAGAAAGCATTGCCTAATATCTATTGTTGAATTCACAAGGGAGTTGGACAATTGTTCTCTTTCTGGAGTGCGGTTGAGCATAACCTAGAGAGTCTGCAAATCCAGGGGTCAAGGGCTGCCTAACTGACTTTCCAGGCGTGAAATTTAGGCAAATCTCATCACCTTTCTATGCTTAAGCTTTTCCACTGTAAGCTGACAATAAGAATACACAACTCTCAGGATTTTTGTGAGGGCAAAGTAAATAAAATAAACAAAGTGCTTAGCACCATGTAAAGCACAGAATAAATGCTTGATGAATTGTAAATTTTAAGTTAGGTAATGATCTTGTAGAATACTGGAAAAGGCTACAGTGATATTTTTTAAAATAAATGACAAGAAGAAAACAGAACAACAAAATACAATAAACCAGAAGGATAGTGAGTATAAATACTTTTGAACAGCAGAATTGGTATAAAATACACAAAGAAGATTATTTGAAGATAATTTGCTTTTCAACAGCCTTCTCATTTTCATGTCTTTCCATATAGTATTCACTAAAAAAAAATTTACATTTACTTGTGAAGGTGCAGAGACATATATATGCAAAAATCATAAAAAGCTGCATAAAATGTCAACAGACAGATATCCCTTTACTATAATGACCTCTGCCATTCGCATTACTCTGTTTTCCTGTATACGAGGCTCTCACCCTCAATGAGACAGAATAACAGACCATTCATTTGGTATTAGTCAAAGTTCCTTTCATCTTCCCCATAGATGTCAACCAGTGGTATCCAGTTATTTTTATTTTGTAAAGGAAGAAGCTGAGGATTAAGCACGTTTTGGTAAGAAATTATAGGTAGGAGCTGGATCCCAGGGCTGATTCCCAGGCCAGCGTTCTTTATTGACCACGCTATAAGGTAAGTAAGCTTTCTTGGGTGAAGAGGACTGGGACGAGAACAACGCCTAATTTCACGAATCCCTGCAGTGACGTGTATATCCCTATATCCTTCATTGTTCATTATTCAGCTACTCTGGCAATTTGGAGCATAGTCAGTATAATAAAAATACCTTCACACTGGTCTAGTACCTCCTGGCCTGTCCCCAGGGTCCCACTGTATGGGCTCTGCGGGTTAACGCCTAGAGAGGTCACCTAACCTCCACCAGCACACACTCCGCAGAGCCAGAGCCCCGCCCAGATGTTTATATTTTCCTCCATTGGCCCCGCCCCCGACCACGCGGGGCTCCAGCCGCCTCCCGGAGCCGGAGTTCCTGGAGCAGACTTGCCTAGCGCCTCAGCCTACCCACAGGGATTCCCTCTCCAGCCAATCGCGTCTGAGCAACGGTACTGCCCCTAACAAAGATGGCGGGAGAGGCCTCCGTGGGGGCAGGCTGATTTAACACCCAGACCCAGGACGGCTAGGGAAGACAGCGGTAGCGGAGCGGCCCGGCCATGGAGGAGGGCGGTAGCGGCGGCAGCGGTGGCAGCGACAGCAGCACCAGCGGGAGTGGTGGGGCGCAGCAAAGGGAACTAGAGCGCATGGCTGAGGTCCTGGTCACCGGGGAGCAGCTACGGTAAGGCGTGGGGCAGTGCGGGTGGGCGCGCTGTGGCACTGCCAGCCTGTGCCCGAAGCAGCCCCGCGCGCACATGCGCGTGGCTCGTGCCCTGCGACTTGCGCTGGGTTCCGGGACCGCTGGGGGCGCGTGGACGGTCGGCGTGGCTCCCCTGCCTAGCTGCTGCAGCCGGGCGCCCTGCGACTCGGCACGGGCGCCGGGCTCCGAGGGGGACGCGCGGGAGCGGGTGCTGCGCGCTGCGCCGCTGCAGCCCCGCGCGCAGCAGACGCGCGCTCCCTCTTCCCGGGCACCTGGCGCTGCCAGGCCTCCTGGCTGCCAGGCGACCCCGAGTGCGTCCAGAGAGTGAGAGGGTGGGTGCGCAGCCCCATGCCGCCTCCAGCCCCTCGACTCCTAGAGGGAAGGGCAAACCCAACGATTGACTTGATGTTTTCCTTTCCGCTGGCAAGTCCTGCTTCACTCCTCTGACCCTCGGCGTTTTCATCTGTCTGTAAAATGAGGCTGATTGCCGGGACTGCCTTGACGGCGTGTTGTGGGGGGCTAAACCCCGGGTTCTGAAAAGCTGCCTATCGCGAAATTGGCACGGCCGGGTCAATCATCAGTCGCGTCCGCGAGGGGGCGTGGAGGCACCTTGTCCGGATGCCCCGCTGCTGTGCCAGCTTCCCGAGCGCGCACATTTGGGAGAGCAGAGTCCATGGGCTCCCGGCTGCTGCAAGAATTAGTAATTGACGGTCTCGCCGCACCCGGGACAGGCAGTGAACCCCGGATCCCGCCCCCACCCCCCCGCCTTACCGTTGGCATCCCATCCTGGTCCTTCTTGGGATCATGTTTGAGTAATGTGCTTCCACTGTCTGACCGGTTCTGCAGCTGCCGGTCGTGGGGTCATAAATCAGTTTGCCAGGAGAAGAAGAAGAAGAAGAAGAAGAAGAAGAAGAAGAAGAAGAAGAAGAAACAAACAAATCAACCTGGCTCTGAAGCGTTTGAGCCACAACTCGAGTGCCCTGGCCCAGCTGGCATGAGGCGCTCGCCGGTTCCTTCTAATGCTTGGCCTGAATCTCCAGGCTCATTTTGGTTTCTAAATGCTGTGTTTCAGGACGTTTAGGAGAGAGAATCTTTGGAAAGATCCATGAAGGTTTAGTAACCACCCAGTTTGCAGCGGTTAGATTGAGGAAGTAAATATTGGAAGTCAGAGTTAGTTGAGTTTAACGTTACAAAAGGCAAATTGCACACTTCAATCCCTCCATGACTTTTACGTGTAGAGTCAAAATTAAAGGGAATGAAAGCTCGTTTTTCCTTCATCAAGAGTATTTCCTAATTGAATAAAAATCAAAAGCTTTCCTGATTCAGTCTGAAACAGTCACTTTTTAATAATTTATTTGCTCCTCCTTACTGTATCATCTTTTTCGAAGTCCTCATCGGGTACTTTTCTTTTTTTTTTTTTTTAAGATTTATTTATTTATTTTAAAAGGGATAAGGGAAGGAAGAGAGGGAGAGAAAGTTAAACAGACTCCTTGCTGAGACCCAGTCGAGGAGGGCTTGGATCTCACCACCCAGAGAGCAGGACCTAAGCCAAGAGTCTGACAATTAACCTACTGTGCCACCCAGGTGCCCCTCATTTCTTCTAAAATAACAAAATCGGATGGTGCCTCTCTTTGGCCAGGAAGCACTTTCTCCCTCAGGAGGCAGCTTAAATGCCCCATGCTTAGCTTGTGGGTAAGAAGAGAGAAGGCTCTTTCCCTGGAGGCAGACCTGGGTTTGAATTTCTGCTCAGCCACTTTGTAGCCAAGTCACCATTAGGTTGTTTTCAAGACCGACTTTTAGAGTAAATCTTGGTTTTACTACTTACTAGTGTGGGACCTTGAACAAGTTACTTAACTAAGATTGCTAATCAACAGTGGAACTTAACTCAGTGTTGTTATGAGGATTAGATGAGTTAGTGCTTAGAGGAAGAGTGCCAGGTATATAAGGAAGCACCATGTCCGCGTTAGCTAGCATAGCTCTGTGACATTGGACAAGGTAACTCACTTCTCTGAGCCTTTGTTTCTTCATCTATAAAATGGAAATGCAGATAAGTACTTCATAGGGTTGTTGTGGGAATGTGCCCTTGAGCTTCTGTATTAATGAGCATTCAACAATGGTTGCTGGAATTAATCAGTATTACTGGTCTCTGTGCGTCGCCACATGGGACTTCCAGCCAAGTGAGATCTGGCAGGAAGGATTGGGTGGTGGTTAGGAACACAGGGTATAGAATCAGGCTGCCTGGGTTCTTATTCTGCCTCCACATTTCATAGCTCTATCACTTTGGGGTCAATTTACTGATTCACTCTCTGGGCCTGTTTCCACATCTCTTGCAAGAATGTTGTGAGGATTAAATGAGATGTTCCATGTGAAGGCCTTAGAAAATGTTCACGCCTTAATTTTACTTTGCAAAATTGAAATCATTGCTTTTTAAAATCCCAATCATGTTAGCACTGTGTCTAGCGCATAGTTATTATTCAATAAATATTTGACGAGTACATGTGATTAAATATACAGATGAAATATTCAGAATTTAGGAATTTAAGTGTGCCCTGGCTTCTTGGTTACTGGAAGAGCCTCTCGTGAACGGGTGGGAAGGCATCCATCTGCGCTGTCCCTGTCACAACGTGTCCTTGCATCCTTAGCGGCTTTCCCATAGTCTGACTGGGAGGACTTTGTGATGTACAGGTCACCTGCCTCTAACTGTTTCACACAAAACTCCCTTTGTCCTCTCTTGGTTTCCCACTGCTTTCTTGGTCATCAGAGATAAGGCAAATGAACGTGGTAAGGAACCAGGACACCAAGGATTGGGATTTGAAATAAAAAATTTGGCTTCCAGGTCCAACTCTGTGCCATATATATATATATATATATATATATATATATATATATATAATATGTATATTGTGTATACAATATATACATAATATTGTATATATGTGCTATATATATAATTACATAATAACATATATATATTTATATAAATAAATGCATTTATTTAATGCTATATATTAAACACAGTAATATTTACTAGTAATGAAACACACATGTGTATGTATGTTTGTATGTACTTTTAAACATTTTTCCTTGGTCAAGTCAGCCTCTCTGGGCCTCAGTGCTCTTACCAGCAAAATGGGAATTGATAATATCCTTCCACATAAGGTTTGTGATGTTGGATCAAATGGGCTAGAATATGAGAGGGAACTCTGTAAAATAAGCCATAAACCAAGATTTAGTTATTGTTCTGATTATTGTAAGCTCCAGGTGTGAAATTGAGGCCTGGCTCCACAGTCCTGACACCTTGAAGGGCAGTTGGTTGCATAAGGACATGAAATTAACTAGCAAACTTAGAAACATCTCCTGCTTCCTTTTCCAGCCTGACTGTGGGTTCCTTTTCCTAATCTCATCATTCTTTCCCTTTTCATAAAAGATTTTACTTCCTTGCCCAGTGTATCTTTATGGTTTTGCATCTTAAAAAAGCATTTGGATACCACTCTATACTGACACGATGTCTGCAGTGAAAGAGATAGATCATAACCAGTGTTCACAAAGTTGTGGAGAAGTTGAAGCCTTCATACACAGCTGGTGGACGGTAAAATGATGCAGTCACTTTGGAAAACAGTCTGGCATTTACTCAGTGATAAAACATAAAGTTAACATAAGGGCCAGCGATTTTACTCCTAGGTAGTAAAAGAAATGATAACATATGTCCACATAAAAATTTATGCACAAATGTTCACAGCAGCATTATTCATAATAGCCAGAAACAACAGCTCAGGTGTCCATCTGCGGGTGGATGGATAAATATCCACGCAATGGATTATTATTTGGCATAAAAAGAAATACAGTAGGGAGACATGCTACAACATGGATTAACCTTGAAAACATGCTGAGAGCAGGGATACCCGGGTGGCTCAGATGGTTCAGCGTCTGCCTTCAACTCAGGTCATGATCTCCAAGTCCTGGGATCAAGTCCTACGTTGGGGAGTCGGCTTCTCCCCGCCTGCTCATGCTCTCTCTCTCTCCCTCTCCCTGTATCTCTCTCCCTAATTCATAAATAAATCTTAAAAAATAAATTTAAAAAAAGAATATATGCTGGGAGTGAAAGCAGAAACAAGAAGCCAGATATCATATGACTCCACTTTTATGAAATGTCCATAATAGACAGATCTATAGAGACAGAGAGTGGTTGCCAGCAGCCGTGGGGAGGGAGAATGGAGGGTGAGTACTCATGGGTATAGAGTTTCTTTTGGGGATGATGAAAATGTTATAAAATTGTTTGTGGTTATGATTTCATAACTCTGGGGATGTACTTAAAATCATCACATTATAATCATTAAATGGACGAATTATGTGGTATGTGATTTACATCTTAACAAAAGCATTACAAAAATGGATGGATTTGGATGACACATTTTATTACAGAGTGATAAAGACAAAATATTAGAAGTTTTAAAATAAACTTTTGCTTTTTTGATTGGCCAAAGAATGCAATGATATTTATCACTAACTCAGTAACACATTATTACCACACCAAATGGGACTGATATTTTACATATATATTTTTATAGTATTATTCTTGATACAGAACAGAAAAGGTGCCATGAGTAGTTGAGAAAATCTCAGAACATTCCTCATTTGAAGATAATTAACCATATATAAATAATTCATGAAGGGAATTTCATATTATGAGTTTTCAAGTCATTGGTTATTTTTACGTGCTCTATGCATGCCTTTTATCCTGAAATTTGCCGTGCACTTGTAACTATGACACTCTAATTAAGACACCCCAAATGCATGTCATGTTTCTTCTCTAAGATAATCCCAGAGATACTTTCCACAAAAGTGGGGTTTTCTTTGTTTGTTTTAAAGATTTTATTTATTTATTTGAGGGAGAGAGAGAGTGAGAGAGAGCACAAGAGGGGAGAAGATCAGAGGGAGAAACAGACTCCCCATGGAGCTGGGAGCCCGATGCAGGACTCGAT